TGGGGCGTCCTCGGGACGTGCCCGGGAAGGGCTGCCCCTTAAGCGGCCGGCCGTCGCCTGCGCTGCCCCGAGGCCCCTTTCCTGGCCTCCCCAGAGCATCTGCCACGCCATTTTGTGAGCAGAGCGCCTTTATTTCCCGCGGAGCTGCTGGCGCTCGGGCGGCCCGTTTGCAGAGGTTGCCCGAGGGACGCCGCAGCCTGCTCCAGCGCAGCATGCTGAGGTCAGGTCTGGCCTGTGTAGAATACAAAGGCAAGCAAAAGATTAGCTCGGCGACGTTAAACCTGCTGGCACAGAGCAGCTAGCAGGGAGCGAACCGTGGCTAAACCGTGCTCTCCTTTGTCACCAGTGTAAATCTGGAGCAGCTTTCTTCGGGTCAGTAGAGCCGCTTTGGCTTCTCGCCGCAGCGGAGAGCGTGGCCCTAGAGTTCATCTGCGCTGCCCTCCGCAGAGCAGGCAGCCCTGATGGTGGGCTGACCGCGAGAGGGCACCCGCCGAGGCTTACCCAGCAGCGGAATAGAAGGAAATGCCCCAAAAGGTGGGGAGCAGACAGGATTTTTAGCAGAAGGGCTTCCCAGTCTGTGCTCTCACCTGTGCCTCATTATAAAGCACGCTGGCGGACACACTGGGTATTTCTCGGCTTTATTGCTGTGATAAGGCACCCAGGAAGAAAAGTAAGGCCTTTCCTGCCCGTGGTTGGGTGTTCCCTGGGGACTGGGTCTGATGTTTGCGTAGGGGATACTGGAGTGATTGGAGAGCGCTGCTGTCTTCAGAGCGGAGCTTTTGAAAGACTGCTCATTAACAGCACCACAGCCTAGCGTGAAGCTGAAACTGTGCTTTTCCATTCCAAAGCTCAGCTAGTCTGTTCTGGATTTTGTCTTCGCATAACTTTTGTTTGAAAACAGGGATGTTTTAATGTTTAATAAGGTTTTTTTTCTGATCTCATTGTAGTTAACAAGGAAGCATTGATCACCTTATAAAAGTTCCTCTGCTCATAGTGAGATGCAGTGCTTGGAACAAGAGGTCCACAAAGGCCCAATTCTTCCTGAGAAACCACGTAGAAATGGGGCTGTTTTACAGGGAATCACCTGGCAGCATGCTTTTCCTGAATGAACCCACCTGTGAGACTCATTTTTCTCCACGTGGTTTAGGAGTCATTGAGTCTGTGCAAAAATGCAAAGACGACTCGAGTTCTGAGTATGTCAGTTGCCATGGCAACGCTCTTTCCCAGGGATTTTGGTCCTGTCGTAATTGCGCTCTTTTTCTAGCACGACTTGGGAGTTGTGCAGTCCTCAGGGATGTTGGTGGCAGAGTTACTGGGAATCCTTCCCTGTACCAGATTGATCTCATATTTTCCTAAAAGACACCGCTGCTCGTTGCCAGCTCTGGCCGCTGTTTCACATGCATCACAGATGATTCAGGGGAATTTTTTGGGAGCAGTCCACAGATGTCACATCTTGGCAGGGAAATATGGGAAGAGAGAAATCTGACTTTGGGGAGCTAAATATGAACCGTGCTTTCTAAGCATGTAGAGATAGCTCTTTAAAACCCTAAATTATAACAGGAAATGTAACATCTATGGGAAAGAAAAAAAGTAAAGTACTTGTTTGTGCTTTACCAACTCGCCAAGTTTTGGTTCAGGGTGCAGCCACTACTCTTGCCCACATCGCTACTTGCAGATTCCTGGCACCGCACAAGAAAGCAGCATGGCGCTGTGCGGGACGCGATCTTTGTGATGAGAGAAGCGGATCCTGGGAATCAGACCCTGGGTGTAGCCAGCCCATGTGCTGTCAGACTCGTGATGCTGCGGCTTCTGCTCCAGTGTGCGTAGCATGCTCCTTTTGTAAACTGTGAGTAACCTTAGTGTCCTGATACAGCTCTGGCATTTTCCAGAGCTCACAATCTACCGGCACCTCTCCTCCTTGCACGTAACTGCTTGGGTTCCGTCTTAGAGTGGACCGTATGATCCATGGAAATATAAGAAACTCACTGTTACTTTTTTTTTTTCCCCCCCCTAAGCTTTAACATCCTGGATTTTTTATAGACAGAAAAGAAACTGTGTGCTCTGTTTAAAAGATGTTGAGCCTGTACCCAGAAAGGGAGTTGAGCATAATGGTGCTGAATATCACCATTCCTAGCTTAAGGGGTCAAGTTCATAAACCCTGGACTAGGTGCTTGTCCTGGGTAAGCGGTGGGTAGCGGAATGTGCTTGCGAGGGTTTCCAGGAGGGCCCTTGAGCAGGGCTTGCGCAGTCTGTCTGGGTGTGTGGGAAGGGTGCGTCTGACGTGCCAGCACTTCTGAGCTTAGGCACCAGTGAACAGCGCTGCATGGTGGAAAAGGGGGCAGTGAACTGTGAATGTCCCCATCTGGAAAATGGGGTTTCAAGCTAAAAGTTGTGTTTTTAAGCTAAGGGAAACATCCCTGCTTGTGTTTCTCTGGGATGCTAGTGACTCCTCTGCGAGGTGCAGAGGTGTTCCAGAAGTGATTGACTGCTGCTGCTTTATAGCCAGAGACACCAGAGATACCGTCCATCTGCTGAATCTTCCATCTAAGCTAGTGGGCCGGATGGGGAACCGTCTTCCCCAATCTGGGGAGAGCGGCAAGGGACTGTGAGGAGGCCTTGTTTAGCAGATTTTCTTAGTAACTGGAATCATGTAGTCATCGCTGGAAAATTGCCCCCGCACAAAGTGTTTTTGCTAATATTAACTTTAGTTCCATCTCAGCTCAATGGAGGGAAAAACTAGAAAGTGCCATAAATTCAGCCGAGCTTGTCAAAGCTGTCAAATTACCACCTGATAAAGCTCCTACCTCCTAATGATTACAGCCATCAGCCAGAGAGGAAATGTATGCCGATGGGGCTTTCGAGCGACAGCGCCGGGGTTCAACATTGTTAGACTTTTAATGTAGTGTCATCTGGGGGCTCTTTGGCTTCAGTGGAGGGTGAAGCTCTAAGCAGAGTTATTTCTTCTTCTTCTTCAAAAAAAAAAGATAAAAAATCCAAGGATGTAGGCTAGCATACTACCCCTCTCTTATCAGCCAGATTAATGCTGACTACTAAATTTTAGTAAAGGTCTTCTTTGGTCCCATTTGTTAGTATTAGGAGTCCATAGAGATAATGTCTTTTCGCGTGTAAAAGATGCTATTGATTTTCTGTTACTGTTGTCCTGAAATGTGCACAGTGTGTCTATGGAGCAGTGACAATCCTCCATCACTAGCTTTATGGGAAAAGAATGGTTATTGAATCTCTTCCCATAAAATATAATCTCCTTCTCTCTTCCAGAATTTGCTAGCCCCTGTGGGAGTCCCTCATGTTATCTCTTTGAGAAAATTGATTTTTTTTGTCTCCGCTTTGTACACTTGTGTTTAGTTTTATTTTTAATTTGGCTCATGTGATACGAAATGAAGGCTTCCCTAGCGTTAAGTGTGCTTTCTCAGTGTTGTATTGCTGCTTTTTCATCTGGACTAACACTTTCAGAATGTTTTAAAATAAAATAAAGATATTTGCTTGGCACAAGTCTCCCTTGTTGTTGCTGGGAATTTTTTTACTCTGGGTGAGTCATTGCCCCGCTCTTTCTCTCCAGGCAGGTCTGAGATACTGACAGCTTTTCAGCTGCTTACAGGTAAATTTGGGGTAAGTTTCTAGAGCCAACACAGGCTGATTGATTTCGGATGAATGACACCGTGGCAGAGAACACAACTTGCAGTACTGCCTGCTCAAGGAGCAGTGGTCTTTGAACTTTGAACAGTGGCAAAAATACCGTCAAATTTGTCCTTTCCTCTGTGTAGCAAATGACTGACGATGGGACTTTTTCCTTTCAGGGAGGAAACGGCAACATGAATTCGTAGATGATGAGTAGGATGCCAAAGCCAGAGATGACAGTGCTCTTGAAGAAATGCTGGGTAGAACAAAAAGGTAAAAGGAACAGCTAATTGAGTGCATTTTGGAGCCTGCGGGACTTCATGTGGTACCTTCCCTCACAGGGCAAATGGTTCACCCCCTCAAACTGTAGCTGAGTTTTCTGAATTCCCCCCTCCTCCATTTTGCATGAAGTCCCAGTGATGTCTCTCACTCCTGACCTACTCTTTCTATGCTTAGTTTCTTCCCAAAGCTGCATTGTTCTGTATCTAAAACCCCTGTGAGACTCGTACTTTTGAATGTGTCCTTGCATGCACGTGCTTGCAGGTTCAG